TTTAAAAGTATAGTGGAGGATTTTTCCGCTCTATTAAACGTGTGCGAGAGCATGCACAAACCTCATTTCTCCTCATGCATGTTCTGTTTAAAAGTTGCTGTTTGCATCACTCATATAAGCTTACTTTACAAAAGGAGATTTGCAATTTTTCCACTATGCACCAGTAAGTGAAACTGGGGACGAGCACGTTGGACGGCCTTACATAAACATTACATAGAGAATTAGGAGGACCAGTTATTTTGATGATCCACCCAGAAAAAGAACACCCTCCACTGTACCTTTAAATGAAGTAGCTCTATCACATGTTTTCAGGTTGTTTTCAGATAAAATGAAACTCGTTTATGATGCTTTGATGTTTTTTGGTTACTTTTTTGTCTCCGTTTTCTTTATTTTTATCTTTTTAATGTTCTCAAGTTATCAATTATCATCTTGGTTCCTTTTTGCTTTCTTTGTACATCTAAATCAGGCGTCAACAACCTTTTAAAGGTTTAGAACTGCTTCATGGGTATGAGTCATAGCAAGAGCTACCAATACTGATCTGCATGGAGGAGTCTTTATGCATAATAAGCATATTTTTAAAATTTCCTTGTTTCAAATTTTCTTTTAGATATTTTCATTTTCAAATCTCTATAAATGCAAGTGTGACAACAGAATAAAATATAATTTCAAACTCAGGCCATGGTGAGTTGTGCTGTTTTCAGAAGACGCTGAGGGCACCTGATGTGGTCCTTGAGGGTCCCTTGGTGCCAGTGGGCACCGCATTGGTGACCCCTGATGTAGATGTTTGGGTCAAATGCTTACTTGGCATTTAAACGTATTTACTATTATATCAAATAATATTCAGAATTCTTAAGCCTAATATATGGCACCGCCCTCACACTTCAGCCCATTTTACCCTTTAACTTATTAAATGTTCAGCTACTTCAAAAATGCCTGCCTGTAATTTTAATTTGTATTTTTTACGTATACTGTAGTTTTTGTCCATGGCAGAAACACTACAGTACTTTTTTTTTCCAATAGAAAAGAATGGGGACCATCTTTAACTTCTTGTAACTTCTTTAGCTGTCTAACTCTTTATATGGTAATTCTTTTAGCACATGGTATTTTTAATGTATGTATATTTGCCAGTAACTTTAGCTCGAATTATGCTTTTTCACAGTTAATGTGGCCACATCTTTTCTTTTCAAGCCAGTGAAACTATATTTGTACTTCTACTTGATGTACTGTAATACTTTTTGTAGTACTACTGTTGTACTGTACAACAGAAACTGCTATTTCTTATTTTTATACATTTCCACTCTTTCAAGGATTCAGACTTGTACTTTCTTTTCCTCTACTTGCAGTATTAGAACTTAAGTACAAATACTACAAAACCTCAAATATAAAATTATTGGGAAGTTCTCTTTTTCGTTTTGTGCTGTGATCCTCTTTGCAGCAGTGGGTGCCAACAAATATAGCAATTTTTTTTCTTTTTTTCGATCCTTGTGCTACAGACTTGCACATGTGGTGTCTCTCTGTTGCCATAGCAATTAATTATTTTCTTCTCCTGTG